AATTTTATTAGTTTATTCTCCTATTGTTACGACTTTATTCTTGTAGTTTTATTACTTTATTCTCGTATTGTTACGACTTTATTCTAGTAATTTTATTAGTTTATTCTCCTATTGTTACGACTTTATTCTTGTAATTTTATTACTTTATTCTCGTATTGTTACGACTTTATTCTTGTAGTTTTATTACTTTATTGTCGTATTGTTACGACTTTATTCTTATAGTTTTATTACTTTATTCTCGTATTGTTACGACTTTATTCTTGTAGTTTTATTACTTTATTCTCGTATTGTTACGACTTTATTCTTGTAGTTTTATTACTTTATTCTCGTATTGTTACGACTTTATTCTTGTAATTTTATTACTTTATTCTCGTATTGTTACGACTTTATTCTAGTAATTTTATTAGTTTATTCTCGTATTGTTACGACTTTATTCTTGTAATTTTATTACTTTATTCTCGTATTGTTACGACTTTATTCTTGTAGTTTTATTACTTTATTCTCGTATTGTTACGACTTTATTCTAGTAATTTTATTACTTTATTCTCGTATTGTTACGACTTTATTCTTGTAGTTTTATTACTTTATTCTCGTATTGTTACGACTTTATTCTTGTAGTTTTATTACTTTATTCTCGTATTGTTACGACTTTATTCTTGTAATTTTATTACTTTATTCTCGTATTGTTACGACTTTATTCTTGTAGTTTTATTACTTTATTCTCGTATTGTTACGACTTTATTGTTGTAGTTTTATTACTTTATTCTCGTATTGTTACGACTTTATTCTTGTAATTTTATTACTTTATTCTCGTGTTGTTACGACTTTATTCTTGTAGTTTTATTACTTTATTCTGGTATTGTTACGACTTTATTCTTGTAGTTTTTATTACTTTATTCTCGTATTGTTACGACTTTATTCTTGTAATTTTATTACTTTATTCTCGTGTTGTTACGACTTTATTCTTGTAGTTTTATTACTTTATTCTGGTATTGTTACGACTTTATTCTTGTAGTTTTTATTACTTTATTCTCGTATTGTTACGACTTTATTCTTGCAGTTTTATTACTTTATTCTCGTGTTGTTACGACTTTATTCTTGTAGTTTTATTACTTTATTCTCGTATTGTTACGACTTTATTCTTGTAGTTTTATTACTTTATTCTCGTATTGTTACGACTTTATTCTAGTAATTTTATTAGTTTATTCTCCTATTGTTACGACTTTATTCTTGTAGTTTTATTACTTTATTCTCGTATTGTTACGACTTTATTCTAGTAATTTTATTAGTTTATTCTCCTATTGTTACGACTTTATTCTTGTAATTTTATTACTTTATTCTCGTATTGTTACGACTTTATTCTTGTAGTTTTATTACTTTATTGTCGTATTGTTACGACTTTATTCTTATAGTTTTATTACTTTATTCTCGTATTGTTACGACTTTATTCTTGTAGTTTTATTACTTTATTCTCGTATTGTTACGACTTTATTCTTGTAGTTTTATTACTTTATTCTCGTATTGTTACGACTTTATTCTTGTAATTTTATTACTTTATTCTCGTATTGTTACGACTTTATTCTAGTAATTTTATTAGTTTATTCTCGTATTGTTACGACTTTATTCTTGTAATTTTATTACTTTATTCTCGTATTGTTACGACTTTATTCTTGTAGTTTTATTACTTTATTCTCGTATTGTTACGACTTTATTCTAGTAATTTTATTACTTTATTCTCGTATTGTTACGACTTTATTCTTGTAGTTTTATTACTTTATTCTCGTATTGTTACGACTTTATTCTAGTAATTTTATTACTTTATTCTCGTATTGTTACGACTTTATTCTAGTAATTTTATTAGTTTATTCTCGTATTGTTACGACTTTATTCTTGTAATTTTATTACTTTATTCTCGTATTGTTACGGCTTTATTCTTGTAGTTTTATTACTTTATTCTCGTATTGTTACGACTTTATTCTAGTAATTTTATTACTTTATTCTCGTATTGTTACGACTTTATTCTTGTAGTTTTATTACTTTATTCTCGTATTGTTACGACTTTATTCTAGTAATTTTATTACTTTATTCTCGTATTGTTACGACTTTATTCTTGTAGTTTTATTACTTTATTCTCGTATTGTTACGACTTTATTCTAGTAATTTTATTACTTTATTCTCGTATTGTTACGACTTTATTCTTGTAGTTTTATTACTTTATTCTCGTATTGTCACGACTTTATTCTAGTAATTTTATTACTTTATTCTCGTATTGTTACGACTTTATTCTTGTAGTTTTATTACTTTATTCTCGTATTGTTACGACTTTATTCTTGCAGTTTTATTACTTTATTCTCGTATTGTTACGACTTTATTCTTGCAGTTTTATTACTTTATTCTCGTGTTGTTACGACTTTATTCTTGTAGTTTTATTACTTTATTCTCGTATTGTTACGACTTTATTCTTGTAGTTTTATTACTTTATTCTCGTATTGTTACGACTTTATTCTAGTAATTTTATTAGTTTATTCTCCTATTGTTACGACTTTATTCTTGTAGTTTTATTACTTTATTCTCGTATTGTTACGACTTTATTCTAGTAATTTTATTAGTTTATTCTCCTATTGTTACGACTTTATTCTTGTAATTTTATTACTTTATTCTCGTATTGTTACGACTTTATTCTTGTAGTTTTATTACTTTATTGTCGTATTGTTACGACTTTATTCTTATAGTTTTATTACTTTATTCTCGTATTGTTACGACTTTATTCTTGTAGTTTTATTACTTTATTCTCGTATTGTTACGACTTTATTCTTGTAGTTTTATTACTTTATTCTCGTATTGTTACGACTTTATTCTTGTAATTTTATTACTTTATTCTCGTATTGTTACGACTTTATTCTAGTAATTTTATTAGTTTATTCTCGTATTGTTACGACTTTATTCTTGTAATTTTATTACTTTATTCTCGTATTGTTACGACTTTATTCTTGTAGTTTTATTACTTTATTCTCGTATTGTTACGACTTTATTCTAGTAATTTTATTACTTTATTCTCGTATTGTTACGACTTTATTCTTGTAGTTTTATTACTTTATTCTCGTATTGTTACGACTTTATTCTAGTAATTTTATTACTTTATTCTCGTATTGTTACGACTTTATTCTTGTAGTTTTATTACTTTATTCTCGTATTGTTACGACTTTATTCTTGTAGTTTTATTACTTTATTCTCGTATTGTTACGACTTTATTCTTGTAATTTTATTACTTTATTCTCGTATTGTTACGACTTTATTCTTGTAGTTTTATTACTTTATTCTCGTATTGTTACGACTTTATTCTTGTAGTTTTATTACTTTATTCTCGTATTGTTACGACTTTATTCTTGTAATTTTATTACTTTATTCTCGTATTGTTACGACTTTATTCTAGTAATTTTATTAGTTTATTCTCGTATTGTTACGACTTTATTCTTGTAATTTTATTACTTTATTCTCGTATTGTTACGACTTTATTCTTGTAGTTTTATTACTTTATTCTCGTATTGTTACGACTTTATTCTAGTAATTTTATTACTTTATTCTCGTATTGTTACGACTTTATTCTTGTAGTTTTATTACTTTATTCTCGTATTGTTACGACTTTATTCTAGTAATTTTATTACTTTATTCTCGTATTGTTACGACTTTATTCTTGTAGTTTTATTACTTTATTCTCGTATTGTTACGACTTTATTCTTGTAGTTTTATTACTTTATTCTCGTATTGTTACGACTTTATTCTTGTAATTTTATTACTTTATTCTCGTATTGTTACGACTTTATTCTTGTAGTTTTATTACTTTATTCTCGTATTGTTACGACTTTATTGTTGTAGTTTTATTACTTTATTCTCGTATTGTTACGACTTTATTCTTGTAATTTTATTACTTTATTCTCGTGTTGTTACGACTTTATTCTTGTAGTTTTATTACTTTATTCTGGTATTGTTACGACTTTATTCTTGTAGTTTTTATTACTTTATTCTCGTATTGTTACGACTTTATTCTTGTAGTTTTATTACTTTATTCTCGTATTGTTACGACTTTATTCTTGTAGTTTTATTACTTTATTCTCGTATTGTTACGACTTTATTCTTGTAATTTTATTACTTTATTCTCGTATTGTTACGACTTTATTCTAGTAATTTTATTAGTTTATTCTCGTATTGTTACGACTTTATTCTTGTAATTTTATTACTTTATTCTCGTATTGTTACGACTTTATTCTTGTAGTTTTATTACTTTATTCTCGTATTGTTACGACTTTATTCTAGTAATTTTATTAATTTATTCTCGTATTGTTACGACTTTATTCTTGTAGTTTTATTACTTTATTCTCGTATTGTTACGACTTTATTCTAGTAATTTTATTACTTTATTCTCGTATTGTTACGACTTTATTCTTGTAGTTTTATTACTTTATTCTCGTATTGTTACGACTTTATTCTTGTAGTTTTATTACTTTATTCTCGTATTGTTACGACTTTATTCTTGTAATTTTATTACTTTATTCTCGTATTGTTACGACTTTATTCTTGTAGTTTTATTACTTTATTCTCGTATTGTTACGACTTTATTCTTGTAATTTTATTACTTTATTCTCGTGTTGTTACGACTTTATTCTTGTAGTTTTATTACTTTATTCTCGTATTGTTACGACTTTATTCTTGTAGTTTTACTACTTTATTCTCGTATTGTTACGACTTTATTCTTGTAATTTTATTACTTTATTCTTGTATTGTTACGACTTTATTGTTGTAGTTTTATTACTTTATTCTCAAAATAATTTTTTAAAAATTCTCTAGCCTGGCCATAATACCCTGTTGTAAGTTCTTCACTCCGTGGCCGAGAAACTTTTGTTTTTATTTTTGTTAATGGCACCACTGGGATACTTAATTTCTCCAGGATCAGACTGCAGCAATAGTGCAAAATAATATCTGAGAGGTAGTTTGACCTTTACCTGTTTCCATGCACGTGCGAGGCACAGAAGGCATAGCTGTAGTGAAGCAGTGTGGGGTCAATCATGGCTCCATTCTCGGCCCTCTCAAGCAGATCACTAAGGTAACAAAGGTGCCGGTGGCAGCCTCGGACACCATAACGAGCGCAGTATTCATCCAGGACGAACACCTGGCCAGGACTAAACCAACCCTGTGGGAATCACACACAAACACACAGTTTTCACATCTGCAGCAGACCTGACAATATCAAATCAATTCATAACAGACAAAACTCATTCAAGAGCACAGCAAATAAGATAAAACAGATATTACTTTTGAGGAAGAAAAAATCTATGGTAAAGTAGGTGGAGCTAAAAAGAAAAAAAAGAAGCAATAAAGGAGCTGTTGTGATGGAGCTCCACTGCTCATCAACAGCTCAGCTGCAGAGGTGGTCAGCAGCACCACATTCATCACAGACACCCTCACCTGGACTGGAAACACCACCTCTTTGGTCAAAGGGCACAGAAGGGCTTGGACTTCCTGCAGAGGATGAGGAGAGCCCCCTCCAAAAAACTGATGAGGATTCAGCTTTGCTTACCAGGCAGGAATAGGAATCGTTTAGTCTGTGATCCAAGGTGAGGCGCTGCACCAGCTCAAACAGGGAGGCATGGTCGAAGTTACACGGGTTGGCTGATATAAACTCGTCCATTCCGTGCTTTTGGGCTCGATCTGCATCTGAATATAGTTTACCAAGAAAGAAAATGAAACAAAAAGAAGTGGGAAATTTCAGATGTCTGTAAAATAAAGCAAGCTTATTATCTTAGCTCTGAACCGCTGTGCAAAAACAACATGAACAGCAAGCCATTATCTGTTTGAAGGCCCAGGATTTCTATGACCTAAGTCGATTTAAAAAGGTCAAATGTGAGTATAAAATGCGTTAAAAATCTGCCAAATGATGTATAGGAAACTTTGAAGAAAACACCACCACACCTTCAGTCCGGTGGTCATAATAAATCAAAGACCTTACTACTCCCACCATACCTCAGCGTAGTGACAGATTATGGCTACAGCTGTAGCAGGTGTGTGTTGAAGAAGAGTGAAAGTATTTATTTCTTAGTGTAGTCTCTAGTTCTCTAAAAGCACATTAATGTTGAATAAACCAATCTAGTTTCAAAGTTTATCTTTAATCTTAGCCAAATCGATCTGCCTCAAAAACAAACAAGACACTGAATATTAACCAATGATTTTATCTAATAGGTGAAAACCACACTTCAAGAATGGATTGGTTGGAAAAACAACTGAGAAACAATCAACTTGGTAAAACCGATTTTGTTTAGTTCAATCAATATATTGGTCAGAAACTGGTTTCACAGCAATTGGTTAAGCAAACAACCAGTAAAAATGGTGACTGGTGGTTTACTAATCTGACTGTTTTCTATTTTTTAGATATATATTTTTATTTAAAAGTTCAATATATAACAAGGACGCATAAACACCTCATTTTATTTCTGTGTTAAATTATGTTTAAAGTAAGAGATCATTAAAAATGTCTCCGGACCTTTTCTGGTTGATGATTTTCTTTATTCTGACCCAGCTGATATTTAATTGGCTACCCCTGTTCTAAAACATGCCGTTATACGTTAAAGAAATTTGAACAAATGTAATCTCTTGTGTTTTCATCTTAAACATAGAACACTTTAACAGACCTTTAAACTAGGGACGCACGATATAATGGGCCCCCTATCGGTATCGGCCTTAAAACTGAATATCGGACATCGGCCCCCCCACCGATATTTAACCCGATATTTGATCAGCTTCTGAGTTTCTAAAGTCTAAAAAAATAAAAAAAATACTACTTCTTCTTCTTCCTCAAAAACTTCTTTTTTACAGACTTAAAAACTTCTAAAGACGAGGGAAAAAATATTGATCCATTAAAATATCCCAATATCTTCCTATGCTGATATATTGCCATTTAAAAACACCATATCAATCTCTTTTACTAATGAAATATTGCTATACGTCATCGTTATGCTACGAAATCCCCCGAAAATTCACCAAATGTTGCCATATTTTTATATGTTGATATATTGACGCGGTATCGATCTATTTTACTAACAAAATCTCACAAGAATTTGCAAAATATCACGAGAGTTTGTAACAGAACGATGAAATTTCACCAGATTTTGAAAGTAAAATAGATCGATACCGCGTTTTAAAAAATCTATTTGATATCAGCATATGAAAATATATTTGAGTATATTATTTTTCAAAGTGTCAGAAATGGATAACAAAACAGCTATTTTCAATGACTACTTATTTTTGTCCAGCTTTAACATCGGTATCGATATCGGTTATCGGCTACATGAGTTTTAAAATATCGGCATATCGGATATCGGCCAAAATCCCAATATCATGCATCCCTACTTTAAACCATTTGAACTTATCCTTGAGGATGAAATATTAGCAGAGAAATAGAACTCCAAAAAAAAATGCCTCTATGCTTTAAATCTATTATCGTACAGCAAAGCAGATACATCTCACAATAGATACACTCGCTTGCATACTGTAGGTAAACTGTAGTCCCAAGTATAAAAACATTGTATTCTATACACATGTATTATTGGCTATCATGAACAGATTCTGTCTCCCGGGGAAAATGAACTTCAAAAGCATCACTGGGTCTGATGGGATCCAAACATAATATATTTTACCTGGATTTTGGTTGATAACAAGATTCTGCTTCTGTTTTTCATGATAAATGTCTGAATTAAAGATGTTCAAAATGATCATTTAAACTCAGCTTTAACTGTTTTATCCCATTAATGTTGAAACTGTTGGGATCTGGAGGTTTGTCCACTTTCTCCACCAGAGGGCGCACGAGATCTCCTTGGGGCATGAGCTGACTGCTGTCTTCAATCTGCTCATCAGGAGACTCCTACTTAAGGAGGCGGAGACTGACACTCCAGTGCCAGAGTGTTAGCCAGTAATGGTACAGCTAGACCAGAGACAACCTGCCTGATCTTTTCTCTGTGTTTTTGCGTGAACCTGCCTGATCCAGTTCTTTCTCTCTGCCTAGAGAACCTGACCTGTCTGAAAACCTGAAACCTGGAAGTTACTCAGTTCTGGAATCTGCCTGCCTGCATTCGGTCAGTCTCTGCCTTAGCCCTCAGCCCTCTGCCTGCCGACAAACCTCTGGACACTCAGGGTTATTCCCCCTCCTGCTGATCTGTTCCGCCCCTGAGCAGGTATTAACTTAATCACCTGACAAACTACTGGATCCCTGGAAATCCTCTAACCTCTCTGTTCTCCTTAGTGGTGATCCTCCCGTGACCAGTATGACCAACCCAGTTCCAGTGCACATTTGAAAACTCTGTCAATAAACCTTTGAACTTTTTCTCTGTCTCCTGAGTGTTCTCTGCATGTGGGTTAGACATCTCAATCCCATCATGACAGAAACTTTGTTCTTCTGCAGGGATATGGATCTTCTTTCTCTGTTGTAATAACATGAAATATCTATGATAACACCTGCATAGAGGGTGCAATGAAATGACATCAGTATGATGGAGGAAATGCTTTTTCAGTCTTCACAGCAATTTCTTAAAACCTGTTCAGCTAAGTGTTTGGATAGCGGATCCTACTCTGATCCTTAAACATTTGGCCATATTGGTAAAAACACAACTCAATAATTTCATTGATGCTGCAGGTAAATGCAGTTGTAAACATGTGGTGGACAGAGATCATCCCATCCGTACGAATAGATGAATTGCAGATGTGATCAAAGGTTATAAATATTAAATAGTAATCAAGAGATTTGGAAGCGAATGTCCTCCTCACCGCCTATGAAAACACCCCAGCTGTCAATCAACAAAACAATGAGCAGGATACTGCAAGCTGGTTTTGTCCCCTAAACAAGTCTCTACACCCCGCCCTGACACCCACCCCCTAAAAATCCAAAAAGGTGACATTGCAGTGCCCCTTTGGTTTGTAGCTGGTGGGCTGTCAGGTCTATTTGATGTGAGTGAGCAGGAATTGAGGCGGGAGGGCCGGACAGTAACATGCAGTGACATCAGTCACCCCCCATCCGTCTGGGCTGGAGAAGGATGGCCCTGGCAATGATTGATGGATGATATTCATTTATAGATCCAGCAAAGACAAACCGGGAGGCTGTGTCCTGGCTCTCGCTGGTCAGTGGTCAAAAGCTTTTGTAGCTATTTAAAGTCTGACCTGCTTTGTGATGCAGCACGCTTTCTATAGAGGGATCAAAGGAAATCAACAAATCAAAGGAAATCAAAAAAATATTATTAATTTGGTAATGCTTTCTTTTACAGTACAGTAATAACATAACAAGTTACACTATATTACTAGGTAACAAGAAAACTTTATTTGGTAATTACCACAAAATTAAGGTATATACTTTCATTATAATTACTTGCATGTAATTATTGCAATTGCATATTACTATGTAAGAATGGAGAATGTTGGTGGGTTAAAAGTTTCTATTATTGCCCACCACCTACCAACTGATTACAAAGTAAATTGTAACTTATGATCAGGTAAGTGCAGTGGTTCAAATTTCAGGTAGGATAAAATCAGACTTCTTAGATTTCAAACTGTTATTACCACGTAACTCGTATTCATTTCACCGACAGCAATAAATTAACGTGTTAATTATCTAGTAAAATGTATTTTTTTCCTAGTTATTGTTCTTCAGCAAAATGCATCTGCCCCCACCATGAGTACACTTAAGGCAGATCTGAAGTTGCTGAAGGATGAGACCCATCTTCTGAAAGATGAGCGTGACTTCCTGAGAAAGAAAGCTGAAACTTTAGAGAACTCTGAGTCCAGAAAGACGTCAAAAGGTATTCTCTTTGAATCTACACTCACCGGCCACTTTATTAGGTACCCCATGCTAGTAACGGGTTGGACCCCCTTTTGCCTTCAGAACTGCCTCAATTCTTGGTGGCATAGATTCAACAAGGTGCTGGAAGCATTCCTCAGGGGGTTTGGTCCATATTGACATGATGGCGTCACACAGTTGCTGCAGATTTGTCGGCTGCACATCCATGATGCGAATCTCCCGTTCCACCACATCCCAAAGATGCTCTATTGGATTGAGATCTGGTGACTGTGGAGGCCATTTGAGTACAGTGAACTCATTGTCATGTTCAAGAAACCAGTCTGAGATGATTCCAGCTTTATGACATGGCGCATTATCCTGCTGAAAGTAGCCATCAGAAGTTGGGTACATTGTGGTCATAAAGGGATGGACATGGTCAGCAACAATACTCAGGTAGGCTGTGGCGTTGCAACGATGCTCAATTGGTACCAAGGGGCCCAAAGAGTGCCAAGAAAATATTCCCCACACCATGACACCACCACCACCAGCATGAACCGTTGATACAAGGCAGGATGGATCCATGCTTTCATGTTGAAGACGCCAAATTCTGACCCTACCATCCGAATGTCGCAGCAGAAAGCGAGACTCATCAGACCAGGCAACGTTTTTCCAATCTTCTATTGTCCAATTTCCATGAGTTTGTGCAAATTGTAGCCTCAGTTTCCTGTTCTTAGCTGAAAGGAGTGGCACCCGGTGTGGTCTTCTGCTGCTGTAGCCCATCTGCCTCAAAGTTCCACGTACTGTGCGTTCAGAGATGCTCTTCTGCCCACCTTGGTTGTAACGGGTGGTTATTTGAGTCACTGTTGCCCTTCTATCAGCTCCAACCAGTCTGGCCATTCTCCTCTGACCTCTGGCATCAACAAGGCATTTCCGCCCACAGAACTGCCGCTCACTGGATGTTTTTTCTTTTTCGGACCATTCTCTGTAAACCCTAGAGATGGTTGTGCGTGAAAATCCCAGTAGATCAGCAGTTTCTGAAATACTCAGACCAGCCCTTCTGGCACCAACAATCATGCCACGTTCAAAGTCACTCAAATCACCTTTATATATTATATATATATATATATATATATATATATATATATATATATATATATATATATATATATATATATATATATATATATATATATATATATATATATATATATATAATTAATGGTAATTATATATATATATATATATATATATATATATATATATATAATTTCTTTTCTTTAACTTCTTGATAAGCATGTACAGTACAGTAGTAGCCATTTAAAATTTCTCCACTTTCCCTGATGGGCCCTTGGATGGCTCCTAGCTAGTCCCCTATAATTACTTTTCAAACATCAATATTTGTACTAATATTCTTTCTGTCATGATTTGTGGACATTAGGATCTAAAGAGAAGTGTCATCTCCTGGTCAGACCCTGTAATTCAGTGAAAGGGTGGAGTCAGAGTAAAACAAATGTGTTGGGCTCATGGAGGGTATTTTGTTGGGGGTTGCAGGGAAGGGCCATTTTAAATGGCTGCTACTGTAGCGTGGGTTAGTTTCTTGTGTCTTTGCAGCAATCCCAAACACTTTGATGGTAAAGAAAAGTAAAACTTTTTTTTTTAAAGGGGAAGTAGCACCTTTTAATTTCAATGATTCATATTAGCTGGAAATTTATTAGAAGAATAATGAGACCTTTTTTTAACAAAACAGCCTGTGATCTCCTGCCTGTGAGCTTGAGGGTTCCTCTCAGTAGCTCAGGTGTCCCTAGAACATCTGGACTGAGATCTCTAATGTTTCTCCAGATCTATGTTGGTGGCACTTCTCCGGTGTGGGGGTTAGTGCCCCCAGTGCTCCAATGACCACAGGCTCTACAGCTGCTTTCACCTTCCAGGCTCTCTCTAGCTCTACCCTGAGGCCTTGGTGTTTCTCCAGTTTCTCATGTTCTTTATTCCTCTGTCTCCATAATCTGGGAAGTCCAAATCGATCACTAGGGCCATCCTCTGCTGCTTATCAGTGATCACAATGTCCGGTTGGTTGGTTTGAACCATTTTTTTCTCTTTGTATCTGGAATTCTGACCTGGGGTCTCTAGTTTTTTGCACAGATGTTTCTGTTCATTATACCAACCACTAGATTATGACATTCAATGGATTCCTTTCCTGCCTGTATCTCTGCTGTCATGATCAGTACAGCTTCAGCCTGGCCCCTTTCTAGCCATTGGTAGGATTTGGTCATCTCAGCCACTTCAGCTATCTGAGGGTGGTAGATCCCATGCAGGGTTTTTTCCTCCTATGATGGTTCCTCAAGTTCCAGCTTCCACTGTCTGAGACATTTTCTTCATCCCTTAGGGCCATCTTCCTGATGTATTTTTGGAGTTTTCATCGCTGGTGGCTCTAATGGTCATTAGGCCTCCTTGTCCTTCTTTGCCCTTAGAACCTTTTTGTAAGAATTAAGTTACTTTTGTAATCATTGTAAGTTTATCTTATTAAACAAGGGTATATAATACACAGGGGTCTTAGGTCCTCACCATATCATGGACTCATATCAAACATTTTCCTCCCTCTCTTAGTAATAGCTACTTGCCTACTCACTTTAAAGGAAAGGTCCGGTCAAATTCAGAATTCAAACTTCTGAAAGGGGTCAAAGAACACTACTGCCACCTACTGGTTAGTGACGTCACGGTGCGGTATCGGCTGTTGATCAAGTCCCAGTGCTGTATCTGGTGTTTGTCACAACGCGCTATTATCCAAGTCATCTTGAAAACATTCTTCATCCAAATGTTGGCTACATATTACGGGTTTTTTCTCTGGCCAGAAGTTCGATGGCGAATCCTCCCTCTTCAAGTAGGCGATCCAACGACCAACCCGTCCGTGGAGGATCAGGAATCAGAAAGGAAAAAAAAGGAAAAAGCAATAGCACAGTAGCTGATTTGTTTAACCTGGTTGTGGATGGTAGATTTATAATTGTTAAAAAATGTTTTTATTTTTTATTTTTTTTTATTTTTTTTTTTTTTATTATTATTATTATTTTATTTTATTTTATATATATATAATTATTACTATCACTTAATAATGGGAATTGTTTTTGTGATATTTAATTTTCACCTTGTGAATGATGAGCATGCTTGGCTTGCAGTTGGGTGCTGTCTGCCTATGTACTGGTATGTGAAGGCATGTATGGCCTATATAACATGTTCACTACTGAGATTTCCTGTATCAAAACCCATTATACCCCATTTCATAGGCTGTTCTGTAAGGGAGGGTAGGGGTCGTAGGGTGAGAGTTGGGGGTAAACTGTTTAATTGTTAGTACCTTGTTTCACACAATTAATCTTTGTATTAATTTCACTTCATGGATAAGGTGTAATATGTATCTGTAATACCCAAAATTCCATAAATATATCATAAATTTTAAAAAAAGGAATCAGAAAGATGGAATAACTCTTTGTTTCACTTTTACCCGATGTATTCCAGCATCCAGCTGCCATGCACGTGGGCATTGTCAGTTTCACTACAGCTCTGGTGAATTTCAATGGTGAAGTCCTCTGGAAATCTTCAATAATTGTTGTTGATTGCAGATGTGTCTAGTAGTTCCCATTGATTTAGCTTGTAAAGCGGGGAGAATGGCGCTAGGCTTACCGCACCGTGACGTCACTGCTGGAAGATGGCAGTAGGGAGGTGTTACTGTATGATACAAAATGGCCGCCCCCAGACTCAGTGATTGTCACAAAAATTATTATTCTTTTTTTTTTTTTATGATTCACGCTAAATTTATTAAATCACCTTGGATGTATTATTTTTAGGTATTAATAATGATCCATTGATTATTTCTTGCTGATCGGACTTCTCCTTTAAAATATAATTAAATGTGAATCTTCATTTTATGGACACTAATGTTCCATTGATTTGCTTTGTTTAGTTTTTGCCGAATTGACTATTAGAGAATCCCACTTATAGCATGTTGGATATTGTCCATCATCTGCATAGAAAGTTATGGCGATTGATTAAATGGGTAGATTAAAGAGTTGTAAGCTGTGGCCGTAACACATCTCTCATTACGAAGGCAGCCAGGCGGTCCATGTGGCACTCAACATTCCCTTTCTGTAGACATGAGCAGCTGTCTGTGCAGGACACTGTCCATTGAGGTAGAACTGCCAATTCTGGAAGCTTCCAGAACAAAAAGGCATTCCATTTTCTATAGAAGTAGGTACAACTTTTATTTCACACTCACATGTCAAAACAAATGAAATAGTGAAAGCAGGAACAGGGAACAAAAAAAAATTAATTTCACACATATTCCTAACAGGCAAAGCTTTCAGTTGAGTCTTTGTTGTAACAGTGTTTTAATGTCGCTAATGTTGATTTGGATGGGGGTTGGAGGTTGCGTGACTGAGACGGTTTTGTTTTATATTATAGCACCGATACATGTGTGAACTTACACATGGTTATTTGGTAACATTGAGCGATTGCTGCCCAATTTAATTGTGTGGCAACCACACTGTATTATTCATGACCTGGCACTTTTTAACTTAGTAATTACCAGCTGCTGGGTCTCAGTGGGACTCCAGGGGTTGTGTCAATAACAGCTTTCTCACTAAATTCTGGAGGAGTTCCTTCATAGATCGATCCCCTCATTTCTTTTTTAATGCATAAACTCTTTTGATTCATTATTGTGAACAGAACATTTCAAATCTAAAGTCATCCTCACTGCTTTTTTGAATATTTTTAATGAAACGTTTCCTTTTACAAAAAGCCATTTTTATATTTTACCAACCAAATAATCCATTTAAATAAGAAAGAAATGCAGCTTATAGAATTTTAAAATATGTATATAAGTTTTTTTTAACTTTATCTTGATTTTTATTGATTCTCAGGGAGGTATCATTTACACAAACCTAGGCCTCTGAAACACAACATTGAGATCTAAAAATAAACTAACTTCCCTCTGTATTTCCTGTTTGAACCAGTGCTAATTAAGCAAACCTAAATTTAAGTTTCATATATTATTTCTTTTTTGTAAGCCAAGGTCCACTGTTAAATATACAGGTGAGTGGTCACTCACTTCTATTGTTCTGATGACACATCTGTCCATATTGTCTCTATCTTTTCTAAATGTCAAATAATAATCAATTCTTGTGTATAATGAATGACAGTAGTCAGGAAGATCGGATTAGGGCCCTTAGGGCGGGCAGAGAAAATACCAGTAGATATCAGAATGAGCACAGAGAAAGAGGAGAAAGGAAAACCCAAAGAAGGTTCAGTGCGTAGCAAACAGAGAGTAAAGAGGCAGAGCTAGCACTCCGTCAGCAGTCTGCACTAACCGTTAGCTATGGATTACAGGAAGGCTGCACACCACAAAGACTGAAGGGAAACAGAAAAGCTTACCAACTCTTATCAAATATCAGATCAATTTCTTTACCGATTGCTGTACGTTTTGGGATCATCCACATAAAGGATGTACATTTTCAACAAAAAGACATAAAAAACTTACAGAACTGAGATATGGGGGCATCAAGCTGTGGAGCAGTTCCGCCTCTGGAGTTCAGCTTCTGGACCTGGGTGGGGGGCACTGGCTTGTGTGACTGACCCGTGGCCCTATACATGGCCTGAACCCATAGGATGCGATCCTGCTCATCATCACTGGCAAATATCACAGTTTCTCCCTCTTTTACAGCATTAAAGAACGTCCGGCCACCTTCCAGACCTGGAAAATGGGCAGAAGAACATCGCTGAGTTCTTTGAGCAGATTTCTTTTTTCAACAATATCTTTATTGAGTTTTATATATATATATATATATATATATATATATATATATATATATATATGGCAGGTACAGCAACCTGAGCCTCAGTCAAGGTTTTATGTTGTTCCAAATGAATTTCCTAAAAGTACTATTAAGCTTGTCAAAAAAATGAACCTGGGAGTGGAAATGGGAGCAATTGAAACAGGTATAAAATTATTTGTAATACACAAATTTTAATCAGATTAATACAGCAAATCAGTGACATGGGCAACTTCAACCATTGATCTGATATCTCACTCACTTCTCCAATTACTGGATCATAGTTTGCTGGGGGGATCGTTTTGATATCAGTTGTAATTCACCAATATAGGTAAATCCTTCCTTTGCATTAGAAAAGTTTTTTTTTTTTCAGGTAAATTAGATGATTTTGCATTGTTAATGTTATACCCTGAGAACCGTCCGAACAATTCAATCTGTTGTAATAGATTTGGGAAACTAATTGATAGTTTAGTCGGGGAAAAAAACACATCGTCCACATATAAGGACATTTTATGCTCTTTTCCCCTAAACAGAAGCCTGATATGTTTGTTTGTGTCCCTATTGGCCATAGCTAGCTATGGCCAATAATAAACAACGTAGGTGACAGAGGGCATCCATGACGAGGTAATCGCTCCAAGCGAAGTGATTTAGATACTAAACTGTTTGTCAAGACACAGGCTGGTATACAAAGTTTGAATCAATTTAAGAAATTTCTGTCCAAATCCATATCTGGGTAAAACATTAAATGGGTATGGCCATTCTATTCTATCAAAAGCTTGCCAAGCATCCAGTGATTGTACTGCTGTATCTTTTGTATCAAACATTTAATGAATTATGTTAAGTTCCCATCTGATGCTATGAAAGCCTTTCTGATCGTTAAGAACTGTGCGTGGGATATAGGGGTCAAGTCTCCTTGCTAAAGCTTTACAAAGAATTTTGTGTCACATCCGATAAGGCCTATTGGATATGAAGAGACTCAGTGGGTAGCACTGATGCCTTGCAGCAACAAGGTTCTGGGTTCGACTCCCAACCCGGGGTCTTTCTGCATGGAGTCTGCATGTTCTCCCTGAGCATGCGTGGGTTCTCTCCGGGTACTCCGGCTTCCTCCCACAGTCCAAAAACATGACTGTTAATTGGCTTCTCTAGATCCTCCTAGGTGTGAGTGTGTCTGTGTTGCCCTGCGATGGAATGGCGACCTGTCCAGGGCGTACCCCGCCTCTCGCCCATTGACTGCTGGAGATAGACACCAGCACCCCTCACGACCCCAATCGGGACAAGCGTGTCAGATGATGGATGGATGTATATCTTGAGCATTCTGTGGGGGGTTTTCCTGGTTTTAAAATCAATGTTATCATTGCTATTCTTAATGAGGGTGGCAAAGTTCCTGTTTGATAGGATTCTTCTTGTTGGGATCCTGAGGCTTGCCCACCAGAGGGCGCCGAGGATCCCTTCCTAGGGGTTTGTGTTTCTGTTGGGATCTGGGGTTCTGTCTACCTTTCTCCACCAGAGGGCGTACTGGATCTCCTGAGGCTGGAGCTGACTTCACCAGCTGTTCCTCATCTGCTCATCAGGAGACCAGTACTTACGCAGGCGGAGGACCTCACTCCAGTGCCAGAGTGTTAGTCAGTCACGGTACAGCAAACCCTGAGCCAACCTGCCTGTCTAGTCTCCTGACTACGAAACCTGAACCTGATCCATTTTGTTTTCTCTGCTTCCCAGGTTGAACCTGCCTGAAACCAGAAATCCCCTGAAGAGTTTCTCTGTTGGAAATCGGTCTGCCTGATCTCAGTAGAACCCTGGAGAACCAAACCTGTCATGAATCTGCCAGCCAGCCCCCAGGAGAATCTGGAAGGGAAACTGAAGCTGAAACCAGGTGATCTACAAGCTCTAACCAAACTCAGCCTCCACCAAGCCCTCAGCCTGCCGTCAGCCTCTGGACCCCCCTGGTTCCCCCCTTTGCTGCTCAGCTCAAAACTCCAGGACTGTGAACCCTGTCGAGACCAGTCCCGAACCTGATACCCTGGATCTGTTTATTCTCTGGACTGTGTTCAACAATAAACCTTTGAACTTTTTCCCTGCCTCCGGTTGTGTTCTGCATGTGGGCTAGGAACCAAAACCCATTATGACACTTCTAACATATTAATGAGTGGAATTAATAGTTTTTCTTCAAATGTTTTGTAAAATTCAATTGACCCTGGAACCTTACCAACTGCTAATATTTTGGATAACCTGTGAGATTTCTGCAGTTGTCAAATCACGATGTGATTCATTTTTAGCAATTGAAACAGATCAAGAAATATATCCCGTTCTTCTTTTGCAGTGTATATATAAGCTTTCATAAAATTCTCTGAAACTATTATTAATTTCCAAAGGGTAGCCCTAATCATTCTTAGATGATTTACCTGGAAGTTTATGCTCAGTAATGATAGAATCTATATGTTTTTTTTAACATAGGATTAAAAAGATACCCTTTGCCTTTTTTTTTAACCCTGCCTTTGGTCTGCCTGTATTCCTACACTTTAGTCGTACAGGAACACTAAAGGGTTAGTGTTATTTGTTATACAGAGAATTCACACTTTAGTCCCTGATAAAAAGGCTGTTACCATCTTTCTTATCATTGTTCCAGCGAAGGCGCTTTCTATGCAGTTCAGTGTTTATTTACCTGGCTGAGGGTCGGTGTAGTCCACAGTATATCCATCCAGCTGTAGAAGCTCCACAGGCTCAGCCTTTTTCTCTCTGTAGCTGCACATTGCAAAGGTGTACTGGCTAACCTGTAGCAATAAAACATAAAAGAGACACTTTTCTTTATAGTCAGTCCAGAAAACAAAACATCTAGAAACAAGAAGCTATGCACGTCTTCATAAATATAATGTAATGTATCAATAAACTGCCCATCTTGACATTTATCGATTTCTTTTGATTCTCCGTGTAAAAATGGCTGATTGAAATACGCATTTTAAATGCAAATTACCAGCATTGAACGTAGACATTCGTTCAAACTTATTGCCCTTATTGCCCTTTGTTACGATGTAAAAAGGTTAAAGCAACAGCAGCAGAAACCTTTCTTCTGCATTTAGGTTCATTTACAATTTATCAACATAAGAAAAAGACTGTAGCATATTAACCCATGATTCTTCTGTCATATCAGCACATATTTCAGGTTTATTTTGGAGGGTTGCATTTCATGCATTCACAGAAACTGTCATTCATTATAATAGGAAAATCTTATCGCACACATCCACGCTTGTTTCCAGGTTAGAATTGACGCAGGGCTGTCTGAGTGACACAGATTTGAAAACATGTTTCTGGCAGTGTGAGAAATACTGAATGTGTTAGGGTGTTCTGCAGGGAGGTGCGGTGGAGTTAACACTTTGGCACTTGTGTTTGAGGTTATTACAGAGATTTTTTGACAGATATGGGGATGGACCAGTTAAATAGTAGTGTTAATGAAAGCTTTGGAGGTTTAGGAGTGTACACCTAATGGAAGCTGATTTTACTGACACAATCTCAGTGCATCCGTCTATCCAGTTTCTTCCGTTTTATCCTGGTTTTGGGTCGCGGAGGCAGTGGTCTGAGCAGAGCTGCCCCGACTTCCCCATCAACACACACACCTCCTCCAACTTCTCTGGGGGGGGACCCCGAGGTGACACCAGGCCAGCTAACCTCTTACACCCTCAGGGGGTATAAATAAATTTCTGCCTGACAAAAACACACAAAAGTAAATCACTTATAGCCTCACAGCTATTAGATTTAAGAAGAAACTTTTGGTACGTCTGTAAAGGTAAGATGTCATAGAATGGTTTTCTGGTGTCAGCACCATTGTAGCTTTGACCCTGCCTGAAATATTAGGGACAAAATACAAAATATTTTGCATTTTTTTGAACCTCGCCAAAATTTTCTTTGAAATAAACATTGCAAAACACTACCAAAATATTATTTATAGCACAAAAAAAGTAGTACAGACTTTTAAATCTAAATGTTGTGTAAAAATATACCAAATTTGGACTCAATCAGATGAATCATATTTATTTTAGAATGGTATTAGTGAGAAATTTCTTAGGCGGAGAGGCCATTTTGGCACATTTATCCAAAAATGTCACCAAACTGTGTCAAATATGATTTTACATCAATACTGGGGGTTTGTTAAAATTACGAGATCACGTAGCAGCTGGACCCACCGGTGGTTCCGTAGGGTTCAAGGGGCTAAGAGATATCTTCCCTCCAGTGTGTCCCGGGCCTTCCACCAGGCCTCCTCCCAAACAGAGGCCTGGAACACCTCCTGAGGGAGGCGACCAGGAGGCATCCAGAAGAGATGCCTGAGCCCCCTCAACTGGCTCCTTTCTTCGTGGAGGAGCAATGACTCTAATCCGAGTTCCTCCCAGGAAACTAAGCTCCTCAGCCCATCTGGAAGGGTGAGCCTTCTCATTGTTTATGTCAAAATCAGAGACTTACTTTAATAACCAATCTATCTTCTCTCATTCAAAATCCTGCCAGCCGTGGAATTCTGCCAATCAACCTTCATTCACTGAATAACTTTGATCCCATCAAGTGAAAGCACTGCTAAAGCTTAGGAATAACAAAGTCTCCAACTTTCTAACAGAGTTGTCTTATCAATGATTTAGATTTTCAGAAAATATCCAACAGAATCATCAAGTGGGCTACTTTTCCTACTAGAGAGGAAAATATGTTCCGCTCTCCACCTGAGCCTGGCACACCTGGAGGAGAAGAACACCCACGATGGATGCTGTTCCTGGACTTCAGTTCAGCTTTCAGCACCATCATCCCACAGCATCTGATGGGCAAACTGGAACAGCTGGGCTTCAATACACCCCTCTGCTATTGGCTGCTAGACTTCCTCACCAACAGACCTCAGTCAGAACGCCTCTGATGTCATCAGTCTAAGCCCCTCCCCTCAGGGCTGCGTCCTGAGCCCCCTGCCGTTCACCCTGATGACGCACGACTGCGTCCCCAGGTTCACCACAGATCACACGGTGAAGTTTGCAGACGACACCACGGTGGTGGGCCTCATCAGAGACGACAACGACCTGGACTACAGAGAGGAGGTGGAGCAGCTGGTGGAGCAGAGATAACAGCCTGATCCTGAAGGTGGAGAAGACCAAGGAGATCATGGTGGAATTCAGGAAGAACCGGCATGCCATCTGAACAAATGATGCTAATATATCTGATTTTATGACAATGCTTAAGTAATTTATTCCTACGTTTATTTTTTTTAAACATTGGGGGTGCATTTTAGCTAAAAGGATTTTTTTTTATCAAAAACATAAGTAATGTGCACACATAGGCTATAGTTGTATTAACTATACATTACTATACATCTCCATTATCATTGACTCCTTCCTCTCCTCCTCATCACCATCTGCCACCATCAGCGACCAGAGCAGGCTGCTGCTTATTGCTTGGAGAAGAAGATCATCGTACCTGACCCCTCCCACCCTGGTTTCAATACTCCCCTCTGGCAGGAGGCTGCAGTCAATAAGAAACAAAAACCTTCTTTCTCTCCACAGTTAAACTTATTAACCCCCCTGAAAGTTTGGCCTTGCAAACACCAGGATGTCTGGACATGTACTGGAAATGATATTTAATTTAATGTCACATTGTTCTTTCTCTGCAAAATGATCCTGTTCTGTATTGAATGCATCACCTTTTTAACTTGACTGGGAAGGATATAGCTTTTTACATGTTTATCAACTACTCTGGTCTGTAGAAAATGTCATTTTATTCAACATTAAACAAAAAAATATATAAAGGCATCATCAAATATTCCTCCTAGGAAGCAAGCATCTGATAACAGAGGAGACAGTTCTGCAAAGAAAATGATATGTCATCCAGTAAAAGGCTGAATCTGCATTTTCAAATAGAGAAAAAAAAAAACATTATTAAGGTATTAGAGCTTCTCCAAACTCCCGCATCCTTAAAAAAACTGTCCAATTAATGAAGTTTGGCTTGAAGAAAGCAACTGTTGAATTAAAAAGGCTAAACGATTAGGACCGGATATAGAAAACCTTTCCATGTGTTTGATTCAATTCGGTTTATTTCTATAGCGTCAGGTCATGTCATCGTCATCTCAAGGCACTTTACAGTTCACCTGATCATCCAGTCTAATTGTATTAAGCAGGTTGGATACTTGCAGTGATTTCTTTAAGATTCCTGACAAGCCAACAAATGAATCATATAATTTTTAATAACTTCTGTGGCTTTAGACTGATTGAATGATTTTTCATATTTATGAGGATTTAAACAGGGCACCAAGTTCTCTTCAGACACTTTAAAATGTAATTTATACCTGGCACTAATGGCCTTCCAGCACCAAGACAACTGTAAACATATATAGCTAAAACTAGCTTTTCTGGTAGCTGCTCTAACCAGAATAATTTAGATTTATTTATTTGACAGAAACATCTGTTCATCTGTTGTTCCTAAACAGATCTTAAAATTCCTCCTGTACCTAAAAACTGCTTTTTCACTGTAAGAATTTTACAGTGAATAAAATATAAAGATAACTAAAAAACAGCTATAATTCTTCAAAACTTGTTGAAAAATACAGAATTAATGTTTGCTAGATCACAGATTTTAGGTTAATAAAATTCAATAAAACATTTAAATAAAAACAATTACACTAAATATATATATATCTATAGTAGCAGCTAAACACAGGTTCTGGTTTATTTTTGTTGTTTTGGGTTGTGGTTCTTTGGTTGGCCACATCTTGTTTTTATTTTTGTAAAAAGGTAAGTTGATTTCACTTTACAATATTTTGTTTTTGTTTATTTATAAAAGGGACATTCATGGCTTAAAGATTTAAAATATTTTGAAATACTCACCTCTGCTGTTTCACTGTCCAAGCAGGTGTGTACAGGACTGTACCATTAGATAATTGAAGAAGGGGGAGGTTGATCTGATGTATGGTATTTTCTTTATTGAGTTTGAGTATTTGTTTGGATTGAATTAATATATTTGTTTCTGTATTTATTGGTAAAAGTATTTCTTAAGTAGTTGTTTGTTTAAACCAAATTTTCCTTTTCTTCTTATTTTGAAGCTGAACAGCCTTTTAAAAATGGTTTTCTTCCAATTTAGTTCCTCCTCTATTTATAGCCCCATTTACACTACCCTTGAAAAACCGATCCAGGCCGAGATCGGTCCGAGCTTGGATCGGTAACCAGGCCAAGCTCAGTTTTGACGACCGTTCACACGTCACACTTATCTCGGTTATCTCGACGCCTCGACTCCTCGCCTCCTAGTGACGATGTGCGGTATTACTGCTAGGATTGAAGGAGGGACTCAAGCAGCTGGTGGCGGTAATGCACCAAACGCTGTTTGTCAACCGCCGTAAAACCCAAGAAGAAGAAGACGAAGGAGGAGGGAATCAAGCAAATCAAAATGGCGGCGCCCGTCACATTCAGAAAGTTATGCTTGATTATTATTGCTGTACTTCCGTGTTTGCGGTGGGTCAGGCGAAGACGGCAACCTTGCGCGGATGTACTTGAGAAAGTCGGCTTTTGGGAATGGAGTGTGAATCGGCATGTTCAGCCAGTCGGCGATGACGCGTTCTGCTCATGCACTCTTGTTATCAGAGAACCGAGCCAGGAAAAAACCGAGCCGAACCCACCTCGGGAACTGGTCTGCAGTTAGCGCGGTCCGGTTATGTCTATCTCGGTTCAGTTCAGGTTGTTTCCGTTCACACACGACAAGTTATCTCAGTTACTGAGCTCGGACCGGTCTCGGCTCAGTTTTTTAAGGGTAGTGTGAACGG